ATCGCCTTAACCACTCGGCCACCTCGTCTTATGGACTCCCTTTCACCATGAAGTACCTTTTTATAGAACAACATACCACACTAATGTTAATATTTGCTTTGTTCCTCTAAAATCACCACCTTCACATAAACTGACAAAGTAGTGACATTAGCCCTTTATTCTCAGCAGTGACACTTCAGCTCGCAGCTACCCAGCGAGCATTGCTCCAGGAGTAAACCCGGTTGCGCTTTTCCTCCGGACATTACGGTGATTACGCACAGACATGCGCCGCTGTAGCAGCAGCAGCAGCAGCAGCATAATGGTAACAACTGTGCTGTGTTTTGATGGAGATCACGGATCCAGGATTAGTTTCGTCGTTTTTCTCCGAGCTGTAGGAGAGCCGTGTGAAAAATCTGGCGCAGCGTTGCCACTCACCAGCGAAATATGCAGTCAGGTATTCACTGCATTTACCGCCGAATAGGCTGCAACGTTAGCATTGTGATAGCAATGTAGGTAAGGTTAGCTGGGACGCTTGGACAGAAATAGCCAACCCTCGAGGAAACGGCAGCCTGCTCCCGGTGTGTGTGTTTGTGTNNNTGTGTACAGTAATTGGCCAGTTTGCAGTTTCTCTGGAATGCATCTCTCCAAGAAATGTTCCGCCTTCAAAGTGGTGCTGAGTGCTCTGCTGATAGTGGCGCTCCTGCAGCTCATATACCTGTCCTTCTTATCCAAGTTTCACGGTAAGCAGCAGCGGTACCGATACTCCGAGCTCTTTGGGGGCTCTGGGGGCAAGAAAAATGGGCACCCCGAGAAAAACTCTCGTAAGGAGCGTCTGAGGTACTCGCTGTCTACTGGTGGGATCTTTGACAACAGCGGTCAGTACCGGGTGTACAAGAACTTGATCAAAAGTGATTTCACCACAAACCAGAAACCAGGATCCGACCCCAGCGTCAATGTCCTGGCTTTAGCCACGCACACGACCATCAACAACCTACATCATCTGGAATCTCTTCTGGAAAGGTGGCAGAACCCTCTCTCTGTGGCCATATTCGCACACGGGCAAGATGTCAAGTTTGCCACAGCTCTGGTCTATGCACTCAGCTTCTTCTGTCCTCAGATTCAAACCCTGGTGGACTTCCACTTGGTCTGCCTCTCAGGAGAGATGGCCAGTTTCCCCGAACAGGACCGGGAGCACTTTGCAGGGCTTGAGGACTGTGTCTCTGTGTTCTCCAGACTGGAGACCCACAGGGATAAATACAAGAACTATGCCATCAGCGGGAACATCTCCTACCCCAACAACCTTCTGCGTAATGTGGCCCGAGGTGGCACCGAGTCCTCCTACATCCTGGTCATTGACATCGACATGATGCCGAGCGCTGACCTGTACAAGCAGTTCCTGGCCATGATCCTGCAGCGTGAGCCGGCGAGCGATGAGGTGTTTGTCTTACCTGCCTTCGAGATCCGCCACGCCAGGAAGATGCCCGCCACCAAGGCGGAGTTGGTTCAGCTCTACCAGGTAGGTGAGGTCCGGCCGTTCTATGAAGAGCTGTGTCCTCGCTGTCAAGCCCCCACCAACTACTCGCGGTGGGTCAACAGCCACGTTAGGGAGACGGGAACCCTGGAAGTGGCCTACACGCTCACCTGGGTGGACCCCTGGGAGCCTTTCTACATCGGGCCCCACACCGTGCCCCTCTATGATGAGAACTTCAAGCAATATGGCTTCAATCGTATCAGTCAGGTTTGTACAGTACAGAAAGTTCACTTTTGACTCCAAGGCCAAGTGCGATATACAAATCACATCAAAGTTAATGTTTTGGCATATTTGCTTTAAGAAAATTCTGGATTAAAGGGGCACTACACTGATTTTACACAGTACTACTCATTCTGTGGATTTAAAGGGAGCTTTATCGTAACAACTCTAGTTATATCATCAGGGTTATCTCATATTGTGTTGGAGACTTGTGTTGCAAAATGGGGACGCTCGATAGATATTTTCCAAACAGGGAAGGTCTAATGAAAGACGATATTATGGAGGTGCATTATGGGAAGTGTAAGAGCCAGTGTTTTTCATAGTCTCCTCTGCCCTCTCTGCCTCTTTCTGACACCTCTAACACCTCTAACCTCGTCCCATGATGAATGCTGTCCACACTATACCTTTACCTTGTTCAGTACATCTCCCATCTTCCTCCTGTCAAATTTCTTAAACACATTTCATCTCTCCCCCCCCCCACGTTTCCCCTTCTGTCCTTCTTGCTGTCACCTTTCTTCTCACCTCTCCTGGCCTCTGCACAATCTGTCTTGTCATCCCCCCCTACTCATCACTTCCCACTTCCATGTCTGCCTTCTCATCCTGTCCTTCTGTCTCCCCTCCAGACCTGCGAGCTCCATGTGGCCGGATACAGGTTCTCTGTGCTGAGCTCGGCCTTTGTGGTGCACCGGGGCTTCAAGATCCAGGGGGAGTTCCACGCCAGGAAAGACGAGGAGAACAAACGCAACCGGGTTCTGTTTCGCAGCTTCAAAGAGAGTCTGAAAACCAAATACCCATCCTCCAACCGACGATGCTGAAAACTAGATGAGGACTATGTAGCCTGTGTCTATCTGTGTTCTGCTGAACTGATGGACATATATTTTTCTTGTTTTAACCAGATTTAGCTTGCAGTCAGGCTCTTCCCTGCCTGAAACATCCTTGTTTTTCTATGATTTCTTGTGATGAGGTAGGAGTAGGAGTTTAATCTAATCCAACTCTTGGGTTTATTTCAAGACCCTCTGAAAATGAACAGCAGGGAAATGTTCTCTGGGGATTTCTGAGCAAATCCTGCTAGTTGGGACTGAAAGGAAGGAAATGATCATTCAAGACTGGAAAACTGGCTAGCTACTCCATGAGATTGCTTTTTTTTTTTTTTAATCCAATGCCAATCTAAAATCCAGATGGCATTCGACTGACATTCATTTGAAAGTATATGAGGTACAGTTTCTATTTTAAAACAATTTTGACACAAATATGTCTCTACATATCAACTCAGAGACAAAAGTCCTAATATCAATGTATCTAACAAAAAGGTTAAGGTTCTACATTTTATGACAGCTGATCAAAAATCGCCTTGTTCATCAAAATCCAGCTGAAATGTGGTCCTACGTCATAGCTGCCTTCTGCTCATGCTGTAGCAGAAAAAAAACCATGCAATTCAATTTTAGTTGCTCACTTTTGGCTTTAAAAGTCTATTTTTAGCTATTCAATAACAATAATTAAGTGAAACAAAATGGCAATTCAGTGTGATTATCAGGGTAACTACTTCCTTTAAGTATAAATGAGCCCTGACTCTAAAGTCCTCTCAAATGTGCCAATCAATGATGTGTTCCAACCACCAGATGGCAACATACGCTATATATTTTAGCCTGAAGTGAGTGTTAGTAACACTACAGCAGGACACGGCATTACACAACACCAGTGTTGTTTGCTGCTCAGGGGGATGTAAATTTACTCTGCGCCACAACTGTAAGCTCATTTCAGAAGTTTTCATATCCCTGGGAGTGTCTGTTCTTGCCGCAAACTGTCTGAAGAGATTACTCACACAAGTCATTAGCACAACAAAGCACTGGGAAACTTTACATAGAACAACACTATCATTTCACAAAGACTGTGGAAAACTACTGTATTATAACACTGAGGATCTGACACTGGTAGTCGGTTAGATAATGTAGAGTTTCTGAAGTAGAGTATATGATGGGGCCAGTGGGCTACAGGTAGAAATGTAGAATGGTTAGTGGGTAGAGAGATAAAAAAAAATACTGCACAATCAAAAATGGAAACCACAAAGAAAAGCAGTCTGTGTTGTCTTAAAATTGCTGTGGAAATGTTTATCTCAACACCACTAGAAAATAGCAAATTATGGATCTTACACTTTATTCTGTAACCCACTGGTACGTACATACATTCAGTATTAAACCTTGACTACCACTCTGTTTAGTGAAAATGCATATAAAACAGAATATTTACTGCAAAGTATTCTATACAGAAAATGTTTTTAAGTGTTAAGTTGTTATGTAATTGTCAATTTTGGAGAGATTTCAATATTTTTTCCTCCCTCACTTGTAGTGTTTATGAAATATTTATTGTGAAAATGTTTTCCTTTAAATGGAATTGGTTGAACCATTTTTAAAAATGACCCCAAGCAGGAAAACTGTAGCACGAAATTGTGTTTGGTGCAAAAAAAATGTTTGATATGGTCCATTTTTGTTTTAGAACCACTATAAAATCACTTTTATCTGGTAGTTTTGGGGAGTGAGATCAATTTCAACAAATTACCTTGTGTGATGATGTGGTGTGGTGCTTTATTTCTCATGTGTCTTTTCCTTACTTGAATCTTTTTTTTTTTGTATTTATTTTTTCTTTTGTGTTCACAAAATATAATGCCTGATTTGCATTGCTGGAATTTCTATTAAACCTACTGGATGAGTTTATTTTACTGACAGCTGTCGCTCATTGTACTTATACAAGATACAGTCAGCTGTTACAACTACTGAACAACATCCTCAGTCATCAGACAGCTCTTGGAGCACTTGGTAATACACAAATCCAATCAATTAACTTCACCGGAGGGATTTGTAAAGACAAGTAATGTCAACAGTGTTACTTCAAGTCACTTAAATTGGAGGTGAAGAAGTTGAGGGCAGATGGGATGGGGCTTAATGTGTAAGAAAAGTTTTCCTAACAAACATAATACAGCAGATTTCACTAATTTGAGCTTAAACTGGGTGAAATTATTAAAGATTTAAATTAATTTTAATCACAGATTTGTGTGATGGGCACACAGTGAGAGAACAGCAGTGTTACTCAAACTACAATAATATTAAGATTATTGCTAATAAGAAGTTGATGGTGAAATTGCATACATACACAGTCAGAGTGAGTCAATGTGAAGAGGTATGTGGCTAAATAAATTATAAATACTGTTTCAGTTCATATTGATCAGATAAGATACATTTTAATGTCGTTTTAACAGTTAAGAGTAGTCATTCCAGGCACATATTTATTAAATCTCGAAAATCACCTCTTATGGCCCCTGTCCCTTTAACACCGTCTGCACGTCCCTGATCAGTAGGAGTATCGTTCACCAAGTACTTGACACAGTTGACGTTAACCTGTGGTGTAACATGGCTTAAGATGGGGGTTTAAAGGCATCCCTGCATCAATAGCATGTGATGGGTGATTACAGGGCGAGGGAAGGCCAGCATACAATTAAAAGCTCCTATTTAGTAATTAAGATCTGTGTTAGAGTGGACTTTAAGGGGTTCTCAGTAAGGCCCCAGTTTGATATGGACTGAACGCAACTTGTGCAGTGGACTTCAAATGGCGACACCACCAGAGTAATCGAGTATTATTCCTCAGGAACAATGTTTTTCATTATATCCTATAAATTGTCTCCATATGGCAAAAGGCGGTTTTAGAAAGTTGAAAATGAAAAACAGTATCTGTTTGCCCAGGTGTTGATCGGTGAGTTGGTCATGTTAGTGAAGTAGAGCACGTGTGACATTCGGCACTTGGCTATCCGAGGCGCCGTGGCATTTTGTGGTTAAGCCTTCATTACCTGGATCAATGATGAACCAGGCACGCGAGAGCTAGTAGCACGCAACTGCTTTGGCTTTGAATCTGTTTTTGTTGGGCACGACTAATCATCATTCACCTAATTCAAATACTCAAATCTGGAACTTTTGCTTTCTGCTCAACTTATCACGCCTTCCTCTTCAAAGATGTGCTATCACTTCAAACTAAAAAGCAAATGCTGTATTTTTAAGATGTAATGGAGCTAACTAAAAAGCTTTGGTTTGTGTTATCAAAGTTTCTCCTTCAAGCTAAATTAAGACTTATTATTAAGAGGTTTACGTAAAATAATATTTTCATTTTCCTACAACATACAACTCCTTAAATAAGCTGTTGGCAGTCACCCAACAAAAAAAATGACAACTTCACAAACGTCATGTTTTGTCTACCGATGGTGTTCAATTTCTCTCCCTGTCATGGGTGTTAATAATGTGGCAGAAGGTGCAGACATGTTGGGGGGGGGGCTAGGGTGGATCAGGAGAGGCAGGTTTGGTGAGGTAAAGTGGGGTTTATATCGACAGCTTTGGGGAGTGGAGGCTTATCTGGGTCAGAGAGCTTTACGACATAAGCAATTAGGGCTGCCCTCTCTTGTGTGCGCTAGCAGGAGGGAGGCCTCCCGCCATCTAGATTAGCCGCCCTGCTAAGGCCAGGAGAGCTCCATGGCTTTCTGGACGGTGGAGGGGAACCAGCTGGAGGGCGAGATGAGCAGGCCCTGGGGGGATTCCTCGAGAGGGGGGAGAAAAGGGTGGAGGCAACGAGAGCAAGGGGTCAAGATGCAGGCGCTGTAAACATACAGGGCCTTCTGGGTCAGTGAATGGGTGAGAAATGAAGGAGTCGATGACCCATACTGATGAAAGGAATTCGCAAAATGAAATGCGGGTACAAATGAACCGGCTGTTTGTCCCCTGTAGTATGTTTAACAGCAGCTTGAAGAGAAAAGGACTATAGAGAGGATGTTTATGTCACTCAGCTTAACATTGGTGATTTCTTCTAATGAGCCACTTGACTGGAAGGATTTGGAAGTGATTAGGCCAAATGCTTTAGAGAAATGGTTGAAAAGATCTTTGCAATTACTGAATAAATTATTTGTTAACTGAAGTGCCTCAAAGGGGATTTAGAATATACTATATCAGAAGACTGACTTAGAAATAGACTACACTACATAACTGTATTTGCCACACTAGAGCTGCAAGTCAGAGTTTCAAATGTCTGTCACCCAGAAATAAAAATATAAGTGAGTGGGCACAGAGAAAAGATGCCAAAATGTTTAGATAATTATACATAGTTAAAACTTTACTGCTACAGACTGATGTCTGGTGTTAGGTTGATTATAAAATATTTAGGGCTGAAACTAACTTTTATTTTTATGATCAGTTAAAGCCTTTCTGTCGCCAGTTTATGACTGATCGATAAATCGTTTGCTCTATTGAAGATCAGAAAATAATGAAAGTCACCACCATCATTTCCTGAATTCCAAGCTGACTGTGTTGTTTTGAATTTATGATGATATAAAACAGAAAGAAGAAGCAAATCCTCACATTTTTGGAAAGTCTGACATCTTTACTTACAGCTTACCCCCAGTATTCTACAATGCCCTCTTCTAGTAACTCCCCCTTGCTTTCTTCCTTTATAACCTCCCCCTCTTCTCTTCCTCATACATGTAATGTGTGAGATGTTACATGTTAATTACATGGAAGTCTGTCAGCTGGGGTCTTTCTCGAGACAATCACAACAACAGATTGTAACCACACGCTGAGCACGTCTCTCTCTGAGATGCAACCATCCGTTTCACTTAAACAAGTGAAGGCTTAACTGCCATCAATGCCAGCTTTGGGAGAAGTTTACCTGTCTGCTTATTGAAAAAAAAGCCTCTCAAGCAAAGGGCACGCATATCACTCTACCTCTAAACCTGGTGTTCTTGGACGCCCAGGCTGCTCGCATTTTAAATGTATCCCACTAAAGCCAGACTATCCGGGCTGAAGGACAGAAGTAATGAGACATGACATGGCCCCGGGGAAAGAAAAGGAGGCCTAACAGATATAGGTAATCCTTCTCACCAAGCTAACGCCTCTTAGCCTCCCACCCCTGCAGTCACATGAACCCAGCAGGAAAACCAATCCTAGACATATATATGTATAATGTGAAATGTATTGGCATGTATCACTATACAGGGGTTACGATTCAATATACTATATATCACGATAATGTAAGCAAGACGATATATTGCAATGTACATTTTTTTAATCTAATTGTAGGAAATAGCATGAAGAACAAACCACTATTTGCATAAAATCGGAGTTAAAAAAGTTATTATTAACAAGTTATAATTATTAAAAATCATCATGCTTACTTTTAAACCATGTCCTGCTGTGCTGCAGGAAACTGACACACACACACACACACACACACACACACACATATGCAGTGCTGGCCGTGGCCACAGTGAGTTAATTCTGCTTCGATCGATGCACTAATACAAAGCTCGGTTAATAAAGTCATTCAGTAGCAGATGATGGAGGCTATGATACAATTGCTCTAATGTTTACACAACACAAACTGGGTGTATGCCAACAATCTCAAAGATTACCTGAAGGATTTCTGTGCTATCATTATGCCTTGTTACTGCTGTCATATAAAACAAATCAAATATGGAACCAAAATAGCACTGGAGATTTAACAGGTTCTACTATAAAGAAGATCAACAAACCTGACTGACCACTTACTCTAGTTAATATACTTAAAAGCAGTTGTAACACACTAGATTAAGAGGGATTTAATATGACAGATTCATTTTTTGTTGAGCTTGACTTGACAAAACCACATGACAAAATCAATATAAGCTAGTAGTGAGGATGACTGTATTTGTTTTCACTACTTTTTTGGTGAATTGTCTTGCTGCCATGACGTCAGAGGTTGTATAACATCTATGACCAATTTAACTATTATCAGCTAACAACACTGGACCTGTGCCCTAGCTCCATACGACAGACATAAACTAAGCAGGTTTTCAGGTTGGAAAAGCAACAAAATAATGTATACTCAAAAGAGTCTGTGTCCATACTAATACTTGATTTATAAGTGCCTTGTTTGAGTCTTGTATACTTCCTGTTTTTAAATCTTGTCCTCTAAAACAGTACACTATAAAAATGAGTATATAGGTCCTATCTACAAACAGGGTTCATTTACATTAGACAACCTAAAAATTCTACATACAACTGCTTTTCTTTTTCAATTTAGTCTTAAATAAACAAGACTCAGTCAACATACATACTGAGTACAAATTAAAATTATTTTTCATAAACAAACCAAAAAAAATACTTTTTTAATTATTCTATCAGGTACAAAGTGCAGTCGAGTATGTGATATGATGTTTTGGTCCATGTGACAGATGATCCTCTCATTAGTTAGTGCAGCTCAGGGGTGACACATGTTGACAGATGTCATTGTAAACAGCGAGCTGCACCCCCCCCCCAAGTTTTCAGACATTAGCTTCTAGAAAACATTATACAAAGTGACCACCATAAGAGTATGTGTGTCTGCCATAGTCCACCCTCTTCACAGAAAGGTCACCAACAGGCACATTTTTTATCTGTGTGCCGAACATGATCTGGTGCTATTCAAAAATCCTGCAACTCATAATTATAAAGCAGTACAACTCATACGGACCCACCTGAAGACCGTAGTAATAGACATATGTATTCATCATAAACTGCTTAGTACAGGACTTATAGTTTGGTTTTCCTTATGAACCAAATAATGACAGTCTTTATCTTTTGACTTTTATTATTGATTATGTGTACTATGTGTGTATTGAAACATGAATTGTGTGTAGCATTACACTTCCACTTTATATTTTGTGGATGA